GGGTAGCCTGGTGGAAGCCTGGTTGTTGGAGGGGGAGACCGACTGTCTCCCCTTTAAATACACCGCTCTGCTGCTGCTGCTGGAGACTGACTGTCTCCCCTTTAGATGCACAGTCCTGCTGCTGGAGACCGACCGTCCCCCCTTTAGCTGCACAGTCCTGCTGCTGGAGACCGACCGTCTCCCCTTTGGTTACCCATCTCTGCTGCTGGAGGGGGAGACCGATTGTCTCCCCTTTGGCTAAACAGCCCTGTCGCTGGGGGGCAGGACCGGCCGTCCCTACCCCCTGTGCTGGCAGTGTAGAGACTACGGTCCCATCTGCACGGTTGTGGGGCTTACTGTCTCCCCTTTGTACATTAAGCTGCCGCTGGGGAGAGGGGGTAACAAGCTCCTCTCCCATACATACTTCCAGCTGTGGGGGAGGGAGACCGACTGTCTCTGCTCCCAATACAGAGTCCTGCTGCTGGGGAAAGGAGACTGGGCTCTCTATTCCCGGTAGGACACTCTGCCGCTGGGGAATGGAGACGGGGCTCCCAATTCCCAATGATCTGCTGCCGCTGGGGAATGGAGACGGGGCTCCCAATTCCCAATGATCTGTGCTGCCGCTGGGGAATGGAGACTGGGCTCCCAATTCCCAAAGCATCATACTGCCGCTGGGGAATGGAGACTGGGCTCCCAATTCCCAAAGCATCATTCTGCCGCTGGGGAATGGAGACTGGGCTCCCAATTCCCAAAAAATCACGCTGCCGCTGGGGAGGGAGGACACTGCTCTCCTCTCCCTGGACTTCCCACTGCCTTCCCGGCATATCACTTGGCTGCTGGGGGGCAGGAACAACTACCTCTGCCCCCTGTATCTCAGCCTGCCGCTGGGGAGGGAGGACGCTGTTCTCCTCTCCCTGCACTTTACACTGCCTTCCCGGCATATCACTCTGCTGCTGGGGGCAGGAACAACTACCTCTGCCCCCTGTAACTCAGCCTGCCGCTGGGGAATGGAGCTCAGGCTCCCAATTCCCTGCAATATCTCCCGCTGGGGAATGGAGCTCGGGCTCCCAATTCCCTGCAATTTCTCCCGCTGGGGAATGGAGCTCGGGCTCCCAATTCCCTGCAATTCATTCTGCTGCTGGGGGACAGGAGCGACTATCTCTGTCCCCTGTAACTCAGCCTGCCGCTGGGGAATGGAGCTCAGGCTCCCAATTCCCTGCAATATCTCCCGCTGGGGAATGGAGACTGGGCTCCCAATTCCCAATAAATCACACGGCCGCTGGGGAATGGAGACTGGGCTCCCAATTCCCTGCAGGACCGGTGGAGAGACCTTGGTCCCATCTCCACCGGCCACCTGGGGTTCTTCCCAGTAACACTCCACAATATCTTCCCAGCTGAATGGGTCTTGATCTGGGTCTCCGCTTCCCTGCTGAGCCTTCTCACTGGAGTGGAACAGATTTTGGTAACCCTGTTCCAGCTCCATCTCTCGGGTCACCAGGTGGACCAGGTCTTGCTCAATTTCGTGAGTGTCGTCCCAGTCATACCTGCTCTCCCTCCACTCAAAGAGATCACTGAACCGGGCTTGTGTAGGGCTCCCAAACTCGGGCTCTGAAAAAGACTCCCATAACAAGCCAGGACCATCAAACTCCTCTCCCTCTGGCTTGTCATGCTCGGCTGTCCAGGGCAGGTATTGTGCCCCATACCACCAGAGCGCCTGGTAGGCATCTTCTAGCCACATCTCCTGCCATACTAGGTGTTCCAATTTCCTCACCCATTCTTCCAGGGGCTGCTCTCCCAGGAAGGGCATCCGCAGGGCTACTTGCTTCTGCAACCGCTGGTCTTCCTTGGGGAATCTCTCGCCCCGCTGGTACTCCGCAATACCCAGTGCCTGGTACCAGATGCCTTTACGGACTGCATCTCGGTCATCCATGGCACCCTCATCATACTCCCCTGCTGGTTCCATCTCGGTGCTGTCAGGGTCGCTGTACTGGGACATGCGTTGCCCTCAAATTGTAAAAATCCACGGAATGGTGTCGCCTGTAGCTGTCCTGTAGTCTGTGGGAACGATCCCGCCGCTTGCCACCAATTGTAACGGACCGTTTTGCACAAAAGGGAAAAAAAACGCTTAGACGATAATCCCCTTTCAGAGACAGGCACAGCTACTGTAGAATCACCAAAACTCACGAACGAATACAAGTGAATGATGGCATACAAGTGAATGCTCCAAACACTCGAACTGCATACAAGGGAATGGTCCAAACACTCGAACTGCATACAAGGGAATGCTCCAAACACTCGAACTGCATACAAGTGAATGCTCCAAACTCCCGAACGGCATACAAGGGAATAAGGTAGCACTCCAAATACACGAACAGGAACCATACGAATTGCTGCTACCAGACGAACAGGAAAAGCTCCCAAGCGGCTTACACTCCTGGCAATCAGTCCTTAGCAGCATACAGTAAATCCCCCCAAAGACGAGACAAGGCTCCGTGTTGAGGGTCAAGCAGTGGTCTGTTTAATGAGGGCTACCTGCCCAGCTTTTATGCAGGTCTCCCACCTGGTGGACACTCCCCTAGGGGACCAAATGGGAGACTGTGACAAGGGACAGACAAGTATACAAAAAGGACACACAGTCACAGTATATTCCCACAATGCATCCTGGCTTCCTCCCCTCTGCCCTGGGAGATAATTGGGAAGTAACTCAATTATCTCCCAAGTCAAAGGCAAAACTCCATTACACACGTGGGAACACAAAACCAGCATTATACTTTAAAATGCACAAAGTAACATTTACTACATAAAACACAGACATGTAACATATCCCCAGATAGCTCAGGTCTGAGTGCACATTATTAGGTGAATGGCACTCAGACCACACGAATACAGTTTTAATTGCCATGGAGCCAAAGTCTTTAATTCCACGAATAGGCTCCATGGCATAGCTATCTGGGTTAAAACATTCCTCCAACATAAAATACCGAATTTACATGCATTCGTTCAATCCGTGCGAATTAGAACCAGGGGTTGGAGGTTCAGCGGTGCCTGCACGTAAAAGTGTCCGGGTTTGGTGCATGAAAGCCGGGCAGACAAGCGCTGGCTGCCCGGGGAGCTCCAGAACACCGCCATCGTGTGGCGGCTAAGTGTAACCGCGACCACCCAGTAACAATCAATTAAGCTGCGGTTAACCGCAGCTACTGGGTGGTCAATTGCCGGCACACGCTCGTTAAGCCGCGGTTAACCGCGGCTTCAGGGAGGTAAATGGAGGGCGCACTCCAGCTTCTGGGTGGCCAATTAAGGTCGCCGGCCGGCTTCCCACGGCTCTGGGGAGGCTGAAAAGAGACTGTTTGTTTGGTAGATGGAATCTACCGAACGGCTGTGCAGAAAGGGAGAAATAAATCCTTCTGCACAGTAAAATTAACCCTTTAGCTGCCGGTCCATAATCCAAAGGCAGCAGGCGGGCAACCAGGCTCCTCCAATGCAATGTGGCGAGATTGGTTTCGTCACAAATCCCTACCTGAAAATACCTAAATCTCTCTAGCTAAACCACAGATCTCTCTCCCTCTCTCACTAAAACAAGTGAAGAGAGGGAGGCAGATCCACACTAATCAGAGAAATGGGGAACACACTTTGGATGAAATTGCTAATGGGGCAAGCTGTGATTGGATGACCCCAGCCTGCCCCTTACGATGAGGCAGGATAGGGACACCCCAGAAGCCCCATTTTTTGCCAGACGTACCTGATACGTCCGTGGTCGGGAAGGATTTAAACCAATCAGTAACAGGCATCCCATCCATATATAAAGCTCTGACAGACACGTGACTTCCTCTTTCTTTGCTGCTCCAGCCAAGGCACAGGTCAGAGTATTTTGCTCCAAACTGTTTTACTGATATTGTAGCCCCATGTAGCCAAAGCGCAGCTAAGCGAAAAAAGGCCTTGACAGGGGTTAGGAGGCGGGCATAGGAGGAGGGAAGGAAGTAGGGAGTTATGGGTAAGTAGGCTTGGCTATTTAAATAGGCAGCCATTTTAAAGCCTTCACTTTTAATTACTACCTTGCTGAGTTTGTCCCGCCCACCCTCCCTGAATTTGGTTCGGACTTGGGTTATCCCGTTTTTTCACAGCGGCGGGATAGGGAGCTGAAGGAGAAGAAATAGGCTCCCTAGGATGAACGTCATGGAGACGTAAAACTGTGGTCATTGGTGGTTGGTAGGTTCCGAGTCCTGTCGGTGGCTCAGAATCTGGTGGGGCAGGGGTATCCGGGTATACCCCTGCCATGGTTAATTTATGTTTGGCACTTTAAGTTGGTATGTTGGAATATGTTGATACGTATGTTATATGTTATATGTATATGTATATATGTTATTTATATGGGGGTCATTGCCTGTTATATTAACAGAAGGATTCGGTTACGAGGGCGGAGTATGGGGGCAATGACCCATGTTTATTGTTAAAATTATTATTGCTTAATAAATTATTATTATTCAAGATTGGTTAAATAAAGCTGTGGACAAATTTTCCCATATACCTTTGTGTCAGTGAGTTATTGGGTTGGGTATGTGGGAGGGTTGTCCTGGAGTCCGACTGCCCATATGGCGACTATACACCGGTCATGCAATTGACACTTTAGTTAGACATTTAATGCTAGACAGTCAGTTTTACTCCAAACTGTTCTGGATATTGCAATGGTCACTTTAGTTAAAATTTTATTTCTTGACTTTCAGTTTGCTCCAACTGTTTTTATCAATATTGCTATGGTCACTTTAGTTAGACTTTTAACCCCTTAAGGTTTTCCCCAGATGTGCTTTTTCCTCAAATATGAGTTTTTGCCGCTGGGTTTTTGCCTGGCCCCAGATCATCGGGTGGACTGGTAATCCTAGACCTGGGTCCTTGGATGGGGGATAGGTATTATTCCCACTTTGACTTTATGCGCCCACTTGCGTGGACGAAGGAGGAAAACAACTGTTGGGAATAATATACTTTGCCCATATTTACCTAGGGTTTATGATACAGATTGTATCTGGTAGCTGGTTAGTCTGTTTAAAATTGGTTAACATGTCAGCTATTTGCAATAATTATTGTTATGGTTCTGGTCCTTGCTCTACTTGTTTATGCTATTTTTAAGACTATTGTATTCTGCATTTACAAACATACACGCAACACTGTTCCTGCAAAATCCCCAGCTTGCTATGATGAATATAAGTTTATGGTACTGGTCGAATGCCTAGTCTTATGCTATGGAAATAGTGGCCGAAGACATAATAAAAGACCTGCAGGATTGGCTAGCAATCCTGAATATACCATGGCATATGGCTAGTTGTCTGACCAGGACTCCTTAAATAGGGTATGAGCAAAATATTGCTCAAAGAGGGGAAAATGAAGGAATTGAAACAGTTAATCTGTTAATATTGTATAAGGTGAATGTGACAGAACCATCTTGTAACGGACCGTTTTGCACAGAAGGGGAAAAAACCGCTTAGACGATAATCCCCTTTTTAGAGACAGGCACAGCTACTGTAGAATCACCAAAACTCACGAACTGGATACAACATAGCACTCCAACTCCCGAACTGGAACCTCCCAAATAGCTGCTAGCAGACGAACAGGAAAAGCAGACAGCTTACACTCCTGGCAATCAGTCTCTAACAGCATACAGTGAATCCCCCCAAGAACGAGACAAGGCTCCGTGTTAAGGGTCAAGCAGTGGTCTGTTTAATGAGGGCTACCTGCCCGGCTTTTATGCAGGTCTCCCACCTGGTGGACACTCCCCTAGGGGACCAAATGGGAGACTGTGACAAGGGACAGACAAGTATACAAATAGGACACACAGTCACAGTATATTCCCACAATGCATCCTGGCTTCCTCCCCTCTGCCCTGGGAGATAATTGGGAAGTAACTCAATTATCTCCCAAGACAAAGGCAAAACTCCATTACACACGTGGGAACACAAAACCAGCATAATACTTTAAAATGCACAAAGTAACATTTACTACATTAAACACAGACATGTAACATATCCCCAGATAGCTCAGGTCTGAGTGCACATTATTAGGTGAATGGCACTCAGACCACACGAATACAGTTTAATCGCCATGGAGCCAAAGTCTTTACAGTCAGTTTCATACGAATGGGCTCCATGGGATTCCTATCTGGGGTATAAGACATTCACACAAAAATACCGAACACCGGGTCATTCGTGTGCTTTCACCGAACAAGAAGGGAGGTCGGCGGCTTCAGCGGTGTTCGCGCAAAACTGTGTCCGATTTTAGTTCCATGAAAATAGAGGCGAACACCGCTGTTCATTCGTATGGTTTAAAATGGCAGCGACCTCGTGTTCGGGATACGAACGGCGGCCACCCAGCGTTCATCAATTAAGCTGCGGTTAACCGCAGCTTCAGGGAGGTTAATTGCCGGCACACTCCAGCTCCCAGGTGGTCCAGTCATTCGTACGGTTGTTCGGTAGATTGAAACTACCGAACAACCGGCAGAAAAGCACAAATTCAGCTTTTCTGGATGGAAAAATAAAGTCTTTTAAAAGGGGCCATAGTCCAAAGGCAGCAGGCGAGCAACCAGGCTTCTCCAATGCAATGTGGCGAGATTGGTCTCGTCACACATCTGTCTGCTGGATTTTTGTCCGTTCGTCTGTTTGTCCCTCGTTCGTATGAATGGCTGGTTTCTATAGCCCAGCCATTCGAATGACTCTTTTTCCCGAACAAATCTGCCGAACGAACGGCCACCCAAGTGAGGAGTGTGCTGCTGGTTAACAAAGTGATCCCAATTAGAACGTTGTTAACCGCAGACCCTTCTCAATTAAACCGAACTCAGGGTGGTCGTTGTTCGTATGTCGACCATGAGGCAGCGGCCATTTTAAATCATGCGAACGCTCAGCGGTGTTTGGCCCTATTTCTATGGAACTGAAAACGGACACTTTTTCTGCCGAACACCGCTGGAACAAGGGAACGCCTGGCTGCCTCCACGAAAGCATGCGAACACCGGCCGTTCGGGAGATTGAGAGCATACAAAAGACTTAACCCAGATAGCCTTCCCATGGAGTCATTCGCATACCGAAAGCATGTAAGAACTTTGACTCCATGGTGATTGAACTATGTGTGTGGGATCTGAGCGCTATTCGCTAATAATATGCACTCAGATCTAGGCTATCTGGGGACATGTAATACTAACGGGAAATGTTCAGTTTTCATGTAGTTATGTATTTTTATGTCTTTTATTATTTTATGTTTAAGATGGCGACTGTCCTTGTCCTGGAGTTAATTGAGTTACTTGGTAATTAACTCCAGGGCAGAGGGGAGGGAATCATAATGCACTGTGGGTAAAATATGTGACTGTGTGTCTGAAATGTCCTTCTATCTGTCTGTAGTTTAAGTCTCCCATTTGGTCCCCTAGGGGAGTGTCCACCAGGTGGGAGACCTGCATAAATACGGGCAGGTAGCCCACAGTAAAACCAGATCCTGTTTGACCCTCAATGCGGAGCTTCTGTCTCGTTATTGGGGGGATTTCTTATTCACGTTTAGAGACTGCTGGATGGAACGAAAGCCGCTTTGGGGATATTATTGTTCGACGGTTACCAGCAGTTCGTATATTGCCGTTCGGGAGTTTGGAGCCGTTCGTGGATTTCGATCGGGAGATTGCCGCTTCCCCTGCATTTGGTTCGTGTCTTACAGAGTAAGCGAACGGAGACTGTACTGCAGCCGGGGAAGGTTTACTAAACGGCGGTTTTGCCTAAAGACACTGGAGGTGTCTTAACAGTGAATTATTTTGTAAAAGTAGTAGCAAGCTCTTTTGCAGAAGTGCTTACAAAACATAACTGAAAGGAAATCACAAGCTATGACAGTTTCTATGTATCAGGAGATGCTTAACCACAATGTACATGTGATATTTTGTAAGATTAGATTATTGAACGTAACAGCAGAAACTACTTCCTCTTTTATGTATCTTGTGTAACTTTCTGTAACCAATGTTCGTGACAAATATTGTATAAGTACAGAGCATTTTGAATACATTGTCAGAAGACTTTTGGAAAGCAATCTTGTGTCTGTCTCATTATTCTGCTTCCATAATTCTTCCCTGAGCTCAGGTGACAATCGAGGGTTGGAGAACCGTGACCAGAAGGGACCGAGTCATCAGTTTAGCCTTTCAAGGGGTTAATGCTAGACATTCAGTTTTACTCCATACTGTTTTCTGGATAATGCAATGGTCACTTTAATTAAACCTTATTAGCTTGTCCTGCATTGTGAACCAAGCGATTTTTCATTTATATTACATTTGTCTTCCATTTGGACTCGTATGGTGTGGTATAATTCCCCTGTTACCCTTCTCCCGACTTAACCCTGAATTCTGTTTTACTATTTGGATTCTTGTTTGCTGGCACCTTTTCTAACCTATTACATTCCACTGGCCTCGCACGGATTGCGGTGTTTTACCGCGATCGCGCCTTTTTATTCTCCGGTGCTGGGACTTCAGGGCTAGGTCTCTGGGGATTGGGGGTGCTCGAGGGACCCGGTACATACACAGGCGGGCAGCGATCACAATCTGGATCGCGGGCCGCACAGCGCTTTTGCACGCGAACGTGGGCCATCTTGAATCTCGGTCTTATTGAGGGTGACCACCTCCTCAGACCACTTCTTGAAATTTACTTAAATGGTACTGATTGCCTGAAATTCTGGGTGACCCCAGTTACGAGGCTACCACGTCTCCCATACACGGGCTACATCCCGACATTGCAGACCGCTCATCCCGGTCTTATTGAGGGTGACCCCCTCCTCAGACCACTCTTCGGAATTTGCTATAGTGGTACTGATTGACTGAAATCCTAGGTGACCCCAGTTATACGTGGAGGCCCACTGAGGGGCAATAAGTGCACAGTTGTATGGTCCTGTCTCCCACCGACCATTTCAGTTGAGGATTAATGCTACAATGCTTTGGTGGAAAAAGCCCTCGCCAATAGGCTGGCTTACAACCCATCTGACAGGACTGGTGCGACGGCACCACCGATAGAAGCTAGAGATACCGACAACGTTAGGTCGGACACATTATCGTATAAACGCCATTGGAAGGGCTCCACCGCGGCTTCCTCGAAGGAAAAAGGGAAGACCACATGTAAGCGGAGCTGCCTCTCGGACGTCCTGTACATTAATTATATCAGACTCCATAATCAGGGGATGAGGACTCCGACGCTCCCCCTTCTATGGAGATCACGAAAGAATGGAGAGCAGACGAGTCTCCATCTGAAGAGGAAGAGTGGCAGGACCCGCCCTAGCAAGAAAGGCTTGTCTTTGACACACTGGACACTCTTATTTTTACTCACGCACCATCCGACGTCCAAGAATGGGGTTACCGGATCACCTGGCACACTTTGCTCAGGAGGCCTATGGGAAAATGAAGTTCGAGACAAGCTCAAGGTGGAATGCCCACGCCCTCTATTACCGAACAAGATAGTCCTCACCCGGGAGTTCGATACCACGAAGGTGGTATTTATGCCCCGATCAAGCCGGGGTCCATGTACTTTGCCGACCTGACCCCACCCAAGACTCACCTCTAGAAGCTCACGGTGTGAGGGAATGGGTGCAAAGGGCAATATGTAGGTTGGGGAACGCAAGGCAGACAGGTTTACAGAACGGCGCAAAGATGGATTTCAAACTATTGAAGTTAGGGACGAAAGAGCGATGACCTCAGGCGGACGGACTATTGTTTCGAGAACCATTTATCTCAGCAACGGTTTGGTAGTAAGGAAGAAGACAGGAGACTATCGCCCAGTTATCAACCTACGCCAGCCCAGTGGTTTTGGGGCGTACCAACACCTCAAGAAGGCTGCTATCCATGTCTTAGGGGATCTACTCCTCGAAAGGGGTTCGCAAGGTTGGATTTGAAGGGCACTTACCTACTGGTTCACATGGTGTCTCATGAAGTTTCTGAAGCCGGTCATGGCTCACTGAAGAGCAAAGGGTATCCACTGTCGTATACCTAGACCACTTAATGACCTTTTGCAATCCAATTCCTGACTACGTTTACAGACGAGATTTATGTTTACAGTTTCTGGAATTGTTGGGATTCATAGTGAACAGAGAGGAGTCGGTTCGATCCCAGTTCCGAGTGATTCAGTTCCTCTACATCGGAATAGATTCCACCTTGGGCGGATTACACCTTCCCACATCATTGATAGCGACGATTCATAAGGAAATTCGCCAGGTACGGCGGAAAGGCACCATAACCCTTTGACTATTTCCCAGGACCACTTCACTACCGGACCAGACAGCGGCTGAAAGCTCACTACCCGAGATCCGGACAC